AGAATTTTTTCAAAGCACCATAAGGCGTGGTCAGAGTCTTTGTCCTAGATTGTTTATAAATATTTGTTTAAAGGAGTCTCAAAGGAGTTTCAAAGGAGTAAAGGAGTTTCAAAGGACTATTAGAGCCTTATGTGTATTTTTAAAAGAATATTTTTCGAACGACCATTTACAGAAGACTATCATATCATCATGTGTGGATTTTTAAAGAATATTTTCCCAATGACTATCAGAGCCTTTGGCGTGGATTTTTAAAGAATATTTTATCCATAGGACTATCACAGCCTTAGGGATGGATTTTGAAAGAATATTTTATCCAAAGGACCATCACAGCCTTAGGCGTAGATTTTAAAGAAAAAAATCGAATGGACTACCACTGCCTTAGGCCTGGATTTTAAAGAATATTTTTCCAAAGGACCAGCAGAGTCTTAGGCGTGGATTTTTAAAGAATATTTTTCGAAGGGACCAGCAGACCCTTAGGCCTGGATTTTTAAAGAATATTTTTCCCAAAGGACCAGCAGAGTCTTAGGCGTGGATTTTTAAAGAATATTTTTCCAAACGGACCAGCAGAGTCTTAGGCGTGGATTTTTAAAGAATATTTTTCCAAACGGACCAGCAGAGTCTTAGGCGTGGATTTTTAAAGAATATTTTTCCAATGGATAATCACAGCATTAGGCATGGATTTTTACAGAATATTTTTCCAAAGGACCAGCATAGTCTTAGGCGTGATTTTTAAAGAATATTTTTCCAAAGGACCACTAGAGTCTTAGGCGTGGATTTTTAAAGAATATTTTTCCAAATGGACCAGCAGAGTCTTGGGCGTGGATTTTTAAAGAATATTTTTCCAGAGGACTGTCAGAGCCTCAAAAAGAACAATTTTCTCAAAGAAGTATTACAGCCTTATGCTTGGATTTTAAAGAGGACCGTAGACGTGGATGTTTAATGAATTTTTATACAGAAGACTATCATAACCTCAAGCGAGGATTTTTAAAAAATATTTTTCCAAACGGACTATTACTGCCCTAGGTGTGGATTTTTAAATAATATTATTTAAGAGAACCTTGAAGAATATTTTTAAAGGCCTATCAGAGCATTTGGCGTGGATTTTCGAAGAATATTTTTGAAAGGCCTATCAGGACCTTGAATAATATTTTTTTAAAGAACTATTAGGACCATAGGTGTTGTCTTTTAAAAAAATATTTTTCAAAGGACTAAGAAACCCTTAAATAAATTTTTTTAAAGGACTGTAAAAACCTTAGGGGTGTGTTTTTATTTATGAAATCCACGTACCATAACAGTTATTTCCAATCCATTTCCACACACACACATACAGACATATGACTTAGGGATATGAAAAATGTCAATGATTCAAAATTTAGATTGACTTTATGTCTAACGATTTATTTAAAAAAATCCGGTTATTTGGGAAAAACATTAAACATTTGAGCTTTAGAAATTGTAAACTTCTCCTTCAGAAATCCATGTGAAAAAGGATACTGGAGCGGAACCGTAGTCTCATACTATCGAAATTTTTTATTCACCTAACACCCCAATATTGAATATTTCCCTTAAATATTACATATATTTTAAAGCAGATCCCGAGCCATATAAAAAATCCTAGGCTAAACTTTCCACATCACTAGCAAACCATTTGAACTTTATTCCGCTTAATGGAGGTTAAAAGGACCAACACAAAGCAACAACAAAATTGAATGGACAATTTTACAAATAGAAAGGCGCAATTTTTTATTGGCTTACACAGGGAAATAACAAATGCAATACACAGGCAAACACACACACGAACCACATAGGTTGGGGCTGGGATTAAAAGAAAATAAATTAGAGGGCGGAGAACCAAGAAAACCGAAAAAAGTAAATCGTAGCAGTACAAGAAAAAATACATGTGTCAAACGGTCTATTAATTCACTTTTTCTGTTGTTGTTGTTTTCGGCTCTCCTGCCTTCGACATTTAAACAAATTATAAAGAGTCTGAGGGGTGGGGGATATACAGGGCGAAAATAAAAATGGTAGAAGTAATAGTAAAGTTTTAGTGCGTAGAATATATACTTGCTTGGTCGTATCTACTACACAGATATATAAAAAATGTGTAAAGTTTCCACATCGTAAATGCGGAATATATTGCGTTGTATGTTTAATTCCGAAAAAACAAAAATGTGGGCGTATTTGTGTAGTGCGTGTAGTTCCATAGGCATGCAAGTAATGAGTGCAAATATTTTTCCAACCACAATCTAATATTTATACATGCAATGGGGGAGGTACATGATAATGTTAATTAACAAAGGTTTCCGGTCAATTCTAGCAGAGGTAATAAATTAGGACGAGGTCCTTTGGAAAAATATTATTTAAAAAATATACCCCTACAGGCCTTTGGAAGGATTCTACTTTTAAAAAATAGAGGCCTTTGAAAAATTCTACTTTTAACCAGTAAGGAAAGTAGTAAAGTCGGACGGTGTCGACTATATGATACCCTTCACCACTTTGGATATATTCAACAGATGAATCTTAACAGACGTCGCATTTTTATAAGGACCAGTAAAATGAACTTGGATCCATAAACATGTCAACCGACACTACATTTTTCATTTGGTCAGATATAGAAGCTATATTGGATCCATAAACATGTCATTCTGCAACCGATACTAAATTTTTCATTTGGTCAGATATATAAGCTATATCTAAATCTGAACCGATTTTCAGGAAACTTAACACACAACATTCTATACCTAATTCATTACGCTGTGCCAAATTTCGTGGAAATCGAAAGATATATAGGGACTTTGATGGACCATTTACATTAAATCGGACGAAAATATATATGGGAGATATATCTAAATCTGAACCGATTTTCAGGAAACTTAACACACATCATTCTAGACATAATTCATTACGCTGTGCCAAATTTCGTACAAATCGAAAGATATATAGGGACTTTGGTGCACCATTTACATTAAATCGGACAAAAATATATATGGGAGCTATATCTAAATCTGAACCGATTTTCAGGAAACTTGGCACACATCACTCTAGAGCTCGTTCAGAAAGCTGTGCCAAATTTCGTGCAAATCGAAAGATATTTAGGGACTTTGGTGCACCATTTACATTAAATCGGACGAAAATATATATGGGAGCTATATCTAAATCTGAACCGATTTTCAAAAAACTTAACACACATCATTCTAGGTTTAGTTCAGTACGTTATGCCAAATTTCGCGCAAATCGAAAGATATTTAGGGACTTTGGTGCACAATTTACATTAAATCGGACGAAAATATATATGGGAGCTATATCTAAATCTGAACCGATTTTCTGGAAACTTAACACACATCATTCTAGACCTAATTCATTACGCTGTGCCAAATTTCGTGCAAATCGAAAGATATATAGGGACTTTGGTACACCATTTACCTTAAATCGGACGAAACTATATATGGGAGCTATATCTAAATCTGAACCGATTTTCAGGAAACTTGGCACACATCACACTAGAGCTCATTCAGAAAGATGTGCCAAATTTCTAGCAAATCGGAAGATATATAGGGACTTTGGTGCACCATTTACATTAAATCGGACGAAAATATATATGGGAGTTATATCTAAATCTGAACCGATTTTTCCCAATTTCAATAGGGTCATATGCATAGGCCTTTGGAAAAATTCTACCTTTAAAAATCCACGCCTATGTGCCTTTGGAAAAATTCTACCTTTAAAAATCCACGCCTATAGGCCTTTGGAAAAATTCTACCTTTAAAAATCCACGCCTATAGGCCTTTGGAAAAATTCTACCTTTAAAAATCCACGCCTATAGGCCTTTGGAAAAATTGTACCTTTGAAAATCCACGCCTATAGGCCTTTGGAAAAATTGTACCTTTAAAAATCCACGCCTATAGGCCTTTGGAAAAATTGTACCTTTAAAAATCCACGCCTATAGGCCTTTGGAAAAATTCTACCTTTAAAAATCCACGCCTATAGGCCTTTGGAAAAATTCTACCTTTAAAAATCCACGCCTATAGGCCTTTGGAAAAATTCTACCTTTAAAAATCTACTCCTAAAGGCCTTTGGAAAAATTCTACCTTTAAAAATCCACGCCGTTAGGCCTTTGGAAAAATTCTACCTTTAAAAATCCACGCCTATAGGCCTTTGGAAAAATTCTACCTTTAAAAATCCACGCCTATAGGCCTTTGGAAAAATTGTACCTTTAAAAATCCACGCCTATAGGCCTTTGGAAAAATTGTACCTTTAAAAATCCACGCCTATAGGCCTTTGGAAAAATTGTACCTTTAAAAATCCACGCCTATAGGCCTTTGGAAAAATTGTACCTTTAAAAATCCACGCCTATAGGCCTTTGGAAAAATTGTACCTTTAAAAATCCACGCCTATAGGCCTTTGGAAAAATTGTACCTTTAAAAATCCACGCCTCTAGGCCTTTGGAACAATTTTAGTTTTAAAAATCCACGCCTCTAGGCCTTTGGAACAATTTTAGTTTTAAAAATCCACGCCTCTAGGCCTTTGGAACAATTTTAGTTTTAAAAATCCACGCCTATGGGAAAAATTCTACCTTTAAAAATCCACGCCTATAGGCCTTTGGAAAAATTCTACCTTTAAAAATCCACGTCTATAGGCCTTTGGAAAAATTGTATCTTAAAAATCCACGCCTATAGGCCTTTGGAAAAATTGTATCTTAAAAATCCACGCCTATAGGCCTTTGGAAAAATTCTACCTTTAAAAATCCACGCCTATAGACCTTTGGAAAAATTCTACCTTTAAAAATCCACGCCTATAGGCCTTTGGAAAAATTCTACCTTTAAAAATCCACGCCTATAGGCCTTTGGAAAAATTCTACCTTTAAAAATCCACGCCTATAGACCTTTGGAAAAATTCTACCTTTAAAAATCCACGCCTATAGGCATTTGGAAAACTATTTTTAATTTAGAAAATTAATTATTATGTTTTCTCACTCATTTTCCTTCTTCGTTTCTTTGCAGATTGGGAACGTGAAGCTGTCTCAAAGGCTGAAATATTGCGACTCATTTACCAGGGTAGATTTTTACATTGTAACGTAACATTGGGTGCATTGGGCTTGCCACTGGGCAAGACGACTGTTATGCATTTAGTACCGCGTGATAATTTACCAGAACCCAACTCACAAGGTAAGCAAAAAAAAAAACAAAACATCTAGCATCTGCAATTAAGGAGGGAGGGGGAATGAAATAAAAAAACACAAAACTTTATTAATTAAAATATTTTTTTTTCTACTTCATTTTCTCTTTCCATTTCCGCTATGGAATGACTTGGACTTCTTCTCAACCCATACGTCCCCACGGCCTTTCCTCCCACCCCCTGATGCACTTCTCTCCGCACTCAGATCAAAGACAAAAAAGTAAAGGTGGTTCCAGTAGATGCTGTTCAACGACTTGCTGTATTTTGTAACTAAATTATTTTTAGACATTTTTTTGTTTGTTTTTAGATTTTAGAAGGAATTATTATTATTAATAAATTAAATAAAAAATCTATATATAAATAAATATAAATAAATAAATCTATGATAGTAATATATAAATATAATAAATTAATTGAATTAAATTGAATAATACCACTTTAATGATTATGAACGTCTTCGTCTAATGAATGGTAAAGTAATTAAAAATTTGATAAGGAACAAATAGAGTTTTATAAAAAAAATAAAAAAGGAAAGCTAGAAAATTTCACAAAAAATGGATATCACAAACAAAAAGAATGAATATCACACACACAGATATAATTTGCCACTCTCTTTTTTAACAAAATAACACACATAACCTCAAATATTTAGTAATGCAAAAAATTGATTATGACATAATATAAAAGGGTAAATATTAAAATACATATGTGATAACACTTGAGGAATAATGTGAGGGGGCTAGGAATGGTTGGAATTAAAATAGGAATTATGATTACGCCATATTTGTTTCTTAATAGTATTTCAAATAATTAATGCGGATAAGTTGCGATAATGTAAACATGGTCTAATTATTAAAAATAATAAAACAAATATTATTGTGAATTGTCATTATAGGGAACTGTAGTTCGATTTAACAAATTTTCCTAAAACAAGATGACCATTAACCCTACGATCCATAACCAGGTAACCGAATACTTTTTTGGAATTTGAGTTGCTACTGTTACTTTATTTTTGAAGATATCAACATGAAACTGTGGATCCCCAGAGATTTCGGCTGAACATGGAGACTGGAAAAATTTTATAAATTTTGGTTAAATATATAAACTATACAAATTTGGTTTAATTTTTTCACGCGGTTCCATGATCGGGTACCCGGGTACATTAACTTTTGTTTTATTTTGTTTCAAAATGTTTATTCATGTGTAAAAAAATAACTGTAATTGTTTTTTACTTAAATTATTTATATTTTATTCATTTTATATTCATTCATTTTAACATATTTCTAATATTTGATGACTTATGTTGATTCACTGTAGAAACATGGAAAATATTTTGATATTGTTTTGGTATGTTGATCGCAAACTGGTTTCTTGCAAATATAGCAGATTTTTCTCGTCTTTCTTCTCCTGTTGTCTAACAAAGAAGCGCACAAATAGCTGCATCCTGTTAAAGGCTTAAGTAGAAGCGGCCGCAGAAGTGGATGATTGCTCGGTATATTGTACCGTCTCCAATGGTATTACTTACTTAGCTGGCTTAAAAAAGATTTCGAAGCACGTCGGTCTTGTGCGCATATCCACCAATTTGGAAGACCACGTTCCAAGATGTGGTTTTCTACTTGGTCTTTCCATCTAATTCGTGGCTTTCCCCTTCTACGGGAACCATCAGTATGCCTTTTGAACTGGGGCATTCTCATTAATCCGCACAACATGGCCTAGCCACCGTAGTCGCTGCAGCTCAATACGACTGACTATGTCGATGTCCGCGTATAAATTGTAAAGCTCGTGGTTCATTCGACGCCGATATTCACCGTCGACGCAGATCGACCCGTAGATCTTTCGGAGAATTTTTCTTTCAAACACCCCAAGAGCTACCTCATCTGCTTGCGTAAATACCCATGCTTCTGATCCATATAATAGCACGGGTAGTATCAGCGTCTTGTAAAGTGTGAGTTTGGTCTGGCGGGAGGTGGCCTTGTTTCTAAACTGCTTACTTAGATCATAGTAGCATCTGTTGGCCATCACAATCTTTCTCCGAATTTCAAAACTGATGTCATTCGTTTTATTTATGGCGGTACAGAGGTATATAAAGTCTTTAACTACCTCGAAGCTGTAGTTCTCAAGTTCCACAGTTGATCCGAGTGTACTGGACGTCTTGCGCCTTGATACCATCAGCTTGGTCTTTTCGCCGTTTACTGCCAGACCCATTTTGGCAGACTCCTTTTCAATTTGTTCAATGTTCAACCCATTATATCGATGTCATCGGCGTAGGCGAGTAACATGTGTTGTTTGGTGTACAGAGTGCCATTTCTGTCCACCTTTGCGTCGCGTATGACCTTTTCCAGCAGGATGTTAAAAAGATCACACAACAAACTGTCACCTTGTCTAAATCCTCGTTCGGTATTGAAGGACTCCTTTCCTACTTTAACTGCTGACCTTGTGCCACTTAAAGTTATCCTGCATAGCCGTATTAATTTTGCCGGAATGCCAAACGCAAAAATGACTTTAAACACCTCTGAGCGGATTGGGGTGTCGAATGCGGCTATTTCTCGTGGGTCTTTTCAAGGATTTGGTGCAGTGTGAAAATCTGGTCAATGGTGGATTTGCCAGGTCTGAAGCCTCATTGGTATGGTCCAATAATGTCATTGACCCTTGGCTTGAGTCGTTCACACAGCACGTTGGATAACACTTTATACGATATGCAATCTCTATACCGTAATTTCTTATGGGTTCTGGGGCATCTTCTCCGCCGCTATTATTTGATTCTCAGCTGTCACCAGGTTTCCTTCTTCATCTCTACAGGAAGATGTGTCTAGACAAAAGCCTTCGGTTTGGTGTTTTACTCCTTGGTAAAATATCCGGACTTCATTCTGACCCCTTCACATCTCAATTTACTCAAGCTGACGATGTGCTCCTCTCTCCCTTTCTCCGGATAATACTCTTGCGCTGTGCGTAGCATTACGACACTCCTGATCGTACCACGGGTTTCTTGATGGTGGTCGGCTACGAGAAAAAGTATTTGTACACATTATTTATACGTAGGTAGGTTCGTAGGTTCTTCTCCTGGCTTTCCTTTTCATTGCAAAACTTCGATCATTAAGCTCGACTCGAAAGAGTATACATATCTCACTTATTTTATATAATAATTTTAAAGCATAATCCGCGTCAACTGAACCCGGGACAAGACCATTGGTTCCAACAGGAAATAAACCTAAGCCCACGGCTCAAAATTGAACTCCCCATCAATTGAATGGACCAAAATTGACGAAGAAGAAACATTAAAATTAGTCTTACAGAGGTTCTTCAACGCTGCTGAATAATTTTTTGAAGAAATAATTTAAAAAAATTGATTATTTTAATTGTAAAAAAAAATACGAAACAAACATAACCTTCAACAGACCATTGTTAAAAACATTGAACCCTTAGTCTTGATTTAGATTAGACGAGTTTACTTGCGGCAATTCTTGTCGTTCTCTTTTGAACTTGCTTCATGCGTTTATACAAGGCAATTCGGTTTCCAAAATATTTTTTTATTTGTTGTTTTTTCACATTTAAACCTATATAAAATGTCAACAATACGAAAAACACAAAACGGATTGAAAATGTGTACGAGCAATTTTTTTTCGATTTCTATACCCCTTGCCCCTCTCTTACAAACAAAGACTTGCCGCAAGTGTAAATGGTATGACTTAAAATTTCAGGAAAATAGTCTACCTTTATTTTCTGAGTTTGAAATTTTAAGTTGAATGTGTACGATGAATACTTTTTCTGGCAAGTGTAAATGGTATGTCAAATTTAATGTCATTTGTATCTTTTAAATCCTAAAACAATGATATTGTGATTTATTTTGCCCATTGTGAATGATTTTTTTCGCCATATCTCCGTTATTTTTATTTAGCTACTTTGCATTATGACGCCTAAAAGTATGCTCACAATTTCTACCTTTTCTTCACACACCATTAATTTATCAAACAGGGTGATTCTAATATTCAACATTTAATACACATCTTGTAATAATGTAATCTCTTCCGTTCAACAGCTATCAAAACATCCGTTATGACCAACATAAAGCCCATTTATTCCCTTAGTGTAATAAAAAAAATTAAATATTTACCCTTACACAATAAATTAACAATGAAAAGAGATTGAAATGGTATAGACACACACACAAACACACTTCCAGGTAAACAAAAACAACCAATTTTGTTTTTAATGAAACCAGAGATAAACTGAAATATGAATGATAAGGACTAAAATGATAAAATTTAGCCAGCCAATCAATGCTTTAATAATAATGGAAAATGGTCGAAACAAAAAATGGCAAATGTATGCAAAACATTTCTAGATAACAAAAAAACCATGGCATACAAATTAAAGCATATATATATATATATATATATATAAAATACTAAACATAGATTTATAATCAAATTTAATATTTGTATGTATTATAAAATAATAATAATAATTAAGTAAACTATCTATCTATGTGAACATTTTTAAATATATTTTTTTTTCAAAAAAAAAAAAAAACCAATTAATAATGAAAAAAAAACAATAAAAGTAAACTAAAATGATAACTTATAAATATTAAACAAAATATATATTTAAATATAATAATGAAAAAAATAAATAAATAAATACCAACAACAGCAACAAAGAAAACCAATCCCCTCTCTAAAAAAATGAAATGTGTAATATTATTAATCGATAGAATTAAACACAAAAAAAACAATAAATTAAATTCCAAAATAATTAAATTTTTATGTAGATAATTATTATGTTGAAAATATATTTTTAAATGTTTTAAGCCTTTTTAAATAGCTAAATTATGTAACTGAAAAGCAAATAAATAAAAAAAATAAATAAAAAACTGAACAAATACAAACATACAACTCGTATACCCTTATATTATTATTATTGATGAAAGGAAAAAAAAACCAAAACCAACAACATGTAATGAAATACTATAACAACAACAAAAGTAATATTCCAACAAAATCGGAAAAAACAAATTGATTTTGAAAAACAAAGTGTAACAAAAAAAGTTATTGATTTAATGAGTTTATTGTACTACAAGTTTTTTGTAACAAAAAAACAACAACAACAAATAACCAACAACAACAATTCGTTTTTACAAAAAAAAACACATGTAAACTAATTATATAGACGTTTAATTACGTTAATGTGCTATCGCGCTCGTGCATTCGTTAATAGTTTAATTGAAAACAATTTATTTATTTTCCAACACTTTAATTTTCAAACACTTTAATTTAATTTTCAGAAATTTAAATA